AGAGGTTCTGCCCCTGGCCTGCACTGCAGTAGCTCTGCTCTATTCTACGTTTTACATTTACATTTTAGTCATTTAGCAGACGCTATTATCCAGAGCGACTTACAGTAGTGACTGCATAAATGTTGATTCTTTTTCGCACTGATCCCCCGTTGGAATCAAACCCACAACCCTGGCGTTGCAAGCACCATGCTCTACCAACTAAGCCACACGGGACAATTCTCCACCAGAGGACTATCCTACTCTAAGTATTTCTCATTTCCCAGTAATGTTCTTTCCCCTTTTGCAATTTGGCCATTAATTAAGAGGGTAGAGAAACGTGCAGCTAATGTAAAAGGACACGCAGCATTCCTCCCTGGAAATAAGAATTAATCTTCTTAAATTACTTGAAGTGGGTGTCCCTCCCTTGAGAGAGAGGGCCATAGCCAGGCTAGCGGTGTTGGATTAGCTTTAGTGGTGGCTGGTGGCACTTTAAATGGGGAGGACTGACTCATAGTAATGGCTGGAATGGAATTAATGGAATGGTCTAAAACACATCCATTCATTATTTGTGAGCCGTCCTCCCCTCACCAGCCTCCTCTGATTAGCGCCTGATTAGCTTGCTGTTAGCCCCAGAGCCCCAACCCTCTCACCCCTCACCATTTAAGTAATTTCAGTCCTGCTAGGGCTTCACTGTAGAAAGAACAGAGCTGGCGGAGGATGTTAAGGCAGCTTTGAAATTATACAGGGTAGTGTAGGGTCCTGTGGAAAATATAGGAGTAATTATATAGACCTTATAATAAGATGTCAGGGTAAAAAAATACATGCAAAATGCCCTTATAGAAGAAGGTATAAGCAGTATTGTAAAAGCTCAACCCCGCTTTAAAAATTAAAGCCATATTACATAATATCCCATATTACTTTCACACACGACTACTGGAGCCTTTGTCCCATCAGTGTCTCGCCAAATGACATATCCACATCACCACTGCCCTCTGCTGGTGATGTTAGTGTACTGTCTGTGTTGATCTCTGAAGCCTTGTGCTCTGCTCTGGTACTCAGAAGCTTACAGACTAGTACAGTATCTGTGTGTACATTCCCCTTAGTCCTCTAGTGTGTGTGTGTGTGTGTGTGGGGGGGGGGGGGGGCTATAATCCTTACTGGCTGGACACAGGGTATTATCCGTGTTGTAACATGGTCATCCCTAGGCTGCTGATTGATAAAAGGTTCCAGTGTGTGTCTCTACTGCCAGTCACGTGACAGAGGGGAGTGGGCTTGGCAGTGCACATACACACAGATTTGGATTATGTTACATGCAGTGTTGTTGCATGTGTAGCAGATACAGGCTATTTAGCATATGCTAGTAGCCATCATGCAGTGACGTCACCTGCCCTAAGACCTACAGTGTTGCACTTGCCCAACAAGGACCAATGGTCTTGGTAGGGAAATGGTTAGCACGTTAGCTTCGGGAATACTTAGTGTTGTTGTTGACATGAGTTCGGATTCCAGGTGGCTCCTCCAACTACCCAGAGCGATTTGATCACTCCTGTCCTCTTTCTGTACCTGTTCAGTAGTACAAATTGCTCTATTGCTCTGAGCTGATGTCAATACAAACCTCCATTCTGCTTTATCCCAGTGTGCTGTAGCTACTGTCCATTCATCTGATATCTGCCAGTGACAGCACGTAAATACATGTTATTGCTTCACCTCTCGCTCTAAATCCCTGGATGTCTTCAGGCACTTTTAAAAACGCCTCACCTCTGAACACACAGCACCTTATTGGTGGGCGAAAGTCCACATGACTCTCCGTAGGTACAACAGAGAGGCCAAAACTAAATCTGTTTGGGCTGTTCAGATTATTAACACAAATGACAATGCAGGGATAGAGCCTCAACTGTATCACAGTTTATATCAGACCAGGATACAGTTTGTACTAGACAGGTACATAGTCTTGGTGTCTGTCTACCTGACTGTCACTCAGTCTGTCAGGTGTTCTCTTAAGCATGCATAGCACTTTATTCTGGATCTTTTGTCAGGTGTTCTATGCACACGATTCTGGTGGAAACTGACCTTTTGGAACCTCGGCGAGGTTATTTACCGGCGCTAGTGTTGTACCTTGTCGTAGCTTTGGGGGTGTTTTGTTTTATCTCTTTTTCATTCTACCTGGAAAAACTAAACTTGTCTATCTTCTGAAGAAGAACAATAATCTTTTTGAATCCATTGCCTTCTTCAAGAACCTCTTCTTCGTCTCTTCCTTTGAGACACTCTTGAACACACAGCGTTGGACCTTAGAACTGAAGAATAGGACCGTAGGACCTTATAACTGAAGAACTACAGCTTGGTCCCACTCTCCAGAAAAACAAGGACCCTAAAGAGAAACTGCCTGACGCACTACAATCGATAACTAAGTATCTGTGTTCGGTAGCAATGATCCCTACTAAGCTCCTGATGTACCGGGGTCCACGCGGTGGTGCCCCTCACTCCGACGCCCGTGGAGACGCGTTCAGGCGTAGGAAATCGTGTGGAGAGTTGTTTCAGAAAGGGTACAGGGTGAGGTTGGGGCCTCATGGGATGGCTATGGAGAAGGAGAGGCAGAAGGGACCATATCTTGGTCTCTGGACCTCTCTGAGCTTTCTCTGCAAATGGGGTAAGAATAGAGATCTAGTGCCATAGTTACTCTGTGGGGTAAGAATGGTAGAATATGGGGTCTGGGTCATGTTCAAACAGTCTGTCTCGTCCAGTATACGCTTCCTTTCCAAATGGGGTGAGAATAGAGATCCATGGGGCCATAGTCAAACTGTGGTCCTGTCTGTGATTCCTACTTGTATAAACTATGTTTAAACAATCTGACTTGTCCTGTCTGCACTTCCTCTTAAAATGGGATAAGAATGGTAGAACATGGGATCTGGGCCATGTTCAAACAATCTATCTGGTTCTCTCCAAATGCGGTAAGGACCAAGGTCTGGGAAGGGTATGGAATCACTCATTGTGGTTATGATTCTTATTCTTTACTCTGCTCCTGCAGTGTGCTTCCAATGGCTTTGTTTGTTGGGGGGGATAAAATTGTGTTTCTAGCATCTGGGTTGTGGGTTTGATTCCCGCATGGCCTGTGTATACAAATATTTGTGGTACTGTAGCAGTTATGTGTGATGAGGCTTGCAGTATGATGTGTTGTATGGTCTTGCTGCACGATAGTTCCAAGCACATTTCTCACTGTACGCAGGTGAGAACTATTTTGTTTACAGATGTCTCCACCAGTGGAGGCTGGTGGGAGGAGTTATAGGAGGACAGGCTCATTGTAATGGCTGGAATGGAATAAATGGAACGGTATCAAACATATGGAAACCACATGCTTGACTCAGTTCCATTGATTCCAGTCCAGCCATTAGAATGAGCCTGTCTTCCTATAGCTCCTCCCACCAGCCTCCACTGGTCTCCACCATGAATGAAACTATGAACAGATCCCCAAAAATACAAAGAGATTTGACAAGTAAATGTTTAAAAGTGAATCTCATCTTCATCGTCCTGCCCTGTTAACCTCAATCACTACTAGTGTAAGTTATTCCATCCAGAATGAATAGAAATACACATTGATATGCATGATACACACACACACACACACACACACACGGTGGATCAGAGCAGGGGATATATTGGTGTTATTGGCAGGTGTTGCATTGTTTCTCTAATCCCTGGGTGAGCTCATTTTGGAATCAGACACATGTAGGACACACAGTTTAAAGTACATGACACTACTGTATTAACCTTTATTTCTCTCTCTCTCTCTCTCTCTCTCTCTCTCTCAGGTTTAAGATTCCTGAGAGCCTTGAGATTGATACAGTTCTCAGAAATTTTACAGTTTTTGAATATCTTAAAAACAAGGTAAGTATAGGGCTTTCATTGGACTACCGTCACCACTCCAGCACGGTAGCACAACAACAACTATCTACAGAATCCATCTGACATAGAAGCTCGGGTCAGGTTTGATCTCTCTCTAGACGCTGCGGTAACACTTTATTTTACAGTCCTGTTCCAGACTTATACTAAGACATTTAAACTTATGTGGTAACAACTCTTCAAAGCATGCATTGAGCATTTATAGTAGCTCTCTGATACAAATGTTATATAGTAGCTCCCTGAGACAAATGCTACAATAGTAGCTCCCTGATACAAATGTTACAATTGTAGCTCCCTGATACAAATGTTACAATAGTAGCTCCCTGATACAAATGTTACAATAGTAGCTCCCGTGGTGCTTGTTCCAATGAATCTCACTCATGTCATCTGAAATTGTTATGTAATAACTATGTATTTTAACTTCCATTTTCCCATGTAGTGGCTGAGTAAATAGCAGGACTGTACAGTAAAGTGTCACTGAGGTTGTCTCTTGATGACTGTTTGGCCCAGCGTGCCTCTCCTGTCCTTTCTGGCCTCTTAACACTGTAAACACAGAGACGTTGAGTAATGTACAGTAATCCTCTCTTACTGTGGTTTAGCCCTCATGTATGTGAGGGAGAGATAGAGAGGGAGGGAGAGAGAGAGAGATGGAGGGAAAGGACGAGAGAGAGAGAGAGAAAGGGAAAGAGAAAGTGTATGATAAATGTAGACCAATCCTGAACTAAAGCATGACACGTTCCCTATTACACCAGGGCAAGAACAGACACTACAGTAGCTGTTGACTATATGTAGGAAACACAACACAAGATGATGGTTAGAGTGCTGGCAACAGCATTCCACAAAAGCTGTCATGACATAATGTACGTTCTTAGCAGTTCAATAGAGTAATCCCTTTCAGCTTAATGAATTTTGTTTGTTTTTATTGCATTTTTGTTTTTGACCTGATCCTATCCCCTTGAGCCCCACAGTCCCATCATTTCCTGGCTTAGCGAAAGAGAAAATAATAGAACATTTTGTTTTTATCATTTTTTATTTGCATCTTACATTTTATTTAGCATCTTACTGGCATACCATGCCAGACATAAAGACAGAACTTGATGTAATGATAAAATAATGACAGCGAGTACATGTACAGGACAGTACGGTACTTTACAACCTAAGCCAGGTGGTTTCTAGCCTCACCATCTCAGACCCAATAGATGAGCCTCTCCCATTACATTATTCTCTTTCTGTCACCTGGTCTGGATCTCTTTGAGAGATTTTTATGGTTCTTATTCTACCCAGCAATTCCATCAAGCTGGTGAACCTGTGTTCCATCTTCATAAGCACATGGCTAACAGCTGCCGGATTCATACATTTGGTAAGTGGCCGGGCGGGGGGGTTGTGCTACGGGGGAGTAAGGGAGGTGAGAACTCCTAACGCTTGGTCCGAAAACAACCTCTAGCCCCTCCCTTCCCCCTGGATGTGTGGCAGATCTGAAGTGCTGAAGGGTCCCTGACCAACCCCTACCCCCTACCCCCCAGGGACTCCTGTAAGTCCGAAACGATCGGATAGGTAAGCAATACGGAACAAAATATATACAGTTGTGGGCACTAAAACATTTTTTGTTTTTTTTTACCCTGCACTGCGGTACAGGTTTTTTGTGACAAACTATCGCTGGGATACCCTAGAGCGCCGTGTTGCACACCCATTGCGGCAATAGTTCTGTCAGTACCAAAATACAACATGTTCAGTGCCCGCAACTGTACAAAAATTCCCAGCCTTTCTGAAGGCAAGGTGAAGCAGAAAATTACCATATTGCTTAAACCTATCCGATCAGATCAGATCCACAGCAGGGCCTAGGGGGTTGCGGCCAGGGCTTGATTTGGGAATCAGCATGTTAGTTAAAAAGGCTAGGTAGGCGCCGTCTTTGTATAGCCCCCACCTACCCAGTTCAGATGTGCTGCCACCCGAGGGGAGGGGGCTAGGGATTGCCTTCGGACCGGCCAATAGAGGGTGTTTCCATGTGATGATGAAGAGTTAGGGGCGCTTTAATCAATCAGTAGAACTACAGATCAATGTCTGTCCTTTTTATCAGTGAAATGACAGGTCAATCAATCAACAATGTCTGTCCTTTTTTCAGTTTTTCTCTTATTTCTTACACACAGCTGGCTCAAGTTGTCAGTACATTTATGTCAATGGCTCAACCAACAGTACAATAACACACCAACTAATAAGGCATTAGAACATGCAGGAGGATACCTCTAACCTCCTGACACTAGATGGCAGCATCAGCTTAATATTAAGGTTCCAGAAATGCTGTTTTGTCTGATCAGAGTGAAAGCACGTCAGTTGAGCAGGGCCAGATTCAATCAAACTTGTGTTGAGAAGGTTATATGCAGGGCCTTTGTTTGCAAACTGCTGCCCGAAGTGTCAGAACCATGTCGTGTTCAGTTCAGTTCACTTGTTTCCGAACTGGAGGCACTAACCAGTGGAGGAGGTACTTAGTAGTGTTACAGCATCCTCAACCACGCCGGAAATGCATTAGTCCACGGGAAGACATGTTTGTTGGCTACTGTGTAAACTCTGCAATGCTGGCTTGATTGACTCTTAAGACCATGTTGATGGTAAGACAAACCTAGAGAACCTGCATGCATAGAATATATAGAAGCTGCTTCAGAGGTTTTGATCAAAATCCTTCCAATGTTTTTTGTTAAGACTGACATTCTACCCTGTTCAAATCTCCTTCCCGCTCCTGTTTTTAGGTGGAAAACTCAGGGGATCCTTGGGAAAACTTCCAAAATTCCCAGTCACTTTCCTATTGGGAATGTGTCTACTTGCTCATGGTCACTATGTCAACAGTGGGCTACGGGGATGTCTATGCAAAAACCACCTTAGGACGCCTGTTCATGGTCTTCTTCATCCTCGGGGGTTTGGTAAAACAACATTTTTTCTCTCCCCTACTCCCCCCTTTGCCCCGCTCCCCCCCCCAGCCTCAACCCACCTGTCCCCATTTTCACACTATATAGAACTGTTAAACCAGACAGCAAAATGAGTAAATGATACGTTAGTCTTTCAATGTCTTACTCAATATTATTATCTGGAAAGTATTTTGCAATGTAGCTTTATGATAGTTTAGCAACGTTTACATAGCACTGTTAAGCTTACCTATTTAGATATGTACAGTATACTTACCTGCTTACTATTGATGCTATTTGTCTGTTAGTATTATTGCAGTGATGCCTCCTGCAGTAGCCTACTGTATACAGTGCCTTCGGAAAGTATTCAGACCCCTTGACTTTTTCCACATTTTGTTAGGTTAGAGCCGTATTCTAAAATTGATGATAATATTTTTTTCCCTCATCAATCTACACACAATACCCCATAATGACAAAGCAAAAACAGGTTTTTAGAAATGTTTGCTAATTTATTAAAAACAAAAAACAGATTACATTTACATAAGTATTCAGACCCTTTACTCAGTACTTTGTTGAAGCACCTTTGGCAGAGATTACAGCCTCGAGTCTTCTTGGGTATGACGCTACAAGCTTGGCACACCTGTTATTTGGGGAGTTTCTCCCATTCTCCTCTGCAGATCCTCTCAAGCTCTTTCAGGTTGGATGGGGAGCATTGCTGCACAGCTATTTTCTGGTCTTTCCAGCGATGTTCTATCAGATTCAAGTCCTGGCTCTGGCTGGGCCACTCAAGGACATTCAGAGACTTGTCCTGAAGCCAGTCCTGTGTTTTCTTGACTGTGTGCTTAGGGTCGTTGTCCTGTTGGAAGGTTAACCTTCGCCCCCAGTCTGAGGTCCTGAGCGCTTTGGAGCAGGTTTTCATCAAGGATCTCTCTGTACTTTGCTCCGTTCATCTTTCCATCGATCCTTACTAGTCTTCCAGTCCCTGCCGCTGAAAAACACCCACACAGCATGATGCTGCCACCACCGTGCTTTACCGTAGGGATGGTGCCAGGTTTTCGCTTTGCCATTATGGGGTATTGTGTGTAGATTACTGGGGATTTTTATTTATTTAATCAATTTTAGAATAAAGCTGTAACGTAACAAAATGTGGAAAAAGTCAAGGGGTCTGAATACTTTCCGAAGGCACTGCATGTGTACTTGACTGTAGTTTCTCCTCTTGCCCCCCTCCCTGTAGCTTGTGGGTTGTATTTGTCTGAAGAGTAGAGTTCTAAGATAATTTGCTACCTGCAGTCTGATAATGCTGTTGTTGCTGTTCTTCTTAAAGCAGTCTGTGGTTTCAAGACTACCCCCTTCCTCTCGTGTCCCTCCCCACTATTCCAACAAACACAGTGGCAGGAAGACCAGGCCTAGGCCAGCCTGAGTGTTACCATAGTGACCGCAGCTCTTTACACCCTGACATTTAACCCCAGTCAGAACAGCACCCCCTAGAGGAAAAGGGGCTCACTGCAGCTAAACAGATTTACATTAGTTTGGACTGTTAGCCTTTAACTCGATCCATCTCATATGATGGGATAGAAGATGACCCCCAGCTGTTTGGGAGTGTGCCGTTTGGTCGTCATAGCGATGTGAAGAAAGAAAGAAAGAAAGAAAGAAAGAAAGAAAAAGAAAGAAAGAAAGAAAGAAAGAAAGAAAGAAAGAAAAAGAAAGTGTTACTCTGCCTGGAGGCTGTTTAGGTTTAGCAGCAGTAGTTCTGTTTCCTATCAGGAGACTCCATTGTGGTGATGCTGTAAACCCAGATCAAACTCAAAGCAGCTCTCACATCAACCTCACATCGTAACACATTATTTCCCCTGGATTTGGGTTTTGTGAGTATATTGGCTTAGAAAAAGGTTAATGGATAAAACAGTAACGAAATTGCTCAATAGTTCATGGATAGCTGAACAGCTCAGTTGGTAGAGTGTAGCTCAGTTGGTAGAGCATGGCGCTTGCAATGCCAGGGTTGTGGGTTCGATTCCCACGGGGGACCAGTATGAAAATGTATGCCCTCACTACTGTAAGTCGCTCTGGATAAGAGCGTTGACTAAAATGTACACGTAAAAACTGTTAGCAAAAAGCTCAACAGATAGTAGATGTCTAAACGGTTAGCAAACAGCTCAACAGTTAGTGGATAGCTAAACGGTTAGCAAACAGCTCAATCGTTAGTGGATAGCTAAACGGTTAGCAAACAGCTCAACAGTTAGTGGATAGCTAAACGGTTAGCAAACAGCTCAACAGTTAGTGGATAGCTAAACGGTTAGCAAACAGCTCAACAGTTAGTGGATAGCTAAACGGTTAGCAAACAGCTCAACAGTTAGTGGATAGCTAAACATTAAGCAACAGCTCGACAGTTTGTGAATAGCTATACGGTTAGTTAATGGCTCAAAATGGTTACAAAATAGCTCAATAGGTAATGGATGGCTGAACAGTTAGCACATAGCTCAACAGATGGTCAAATGGTTAGCAAACAGCTCAATAGTTAGTGGATAGCTAGACAGTAATCAACAGCTCAACAGTTTATGAATAGCTATAAGGTTAGCAAACTTCTCAAAGGTTGGTGGATAGCTAACTCAACAGGTAGTGGGTAGTTAAATGGCTAGCAACAATCTAGACAGTTCGCTAAACGGTTTACAAACAACACTTTGTGAATAACTAAATGGTTAGCAAACAACTCAACAGTTAGTGGGTAGATAAATGGCTAGCAAAATGCTCAGCAGCTAAAGAGTTATCAAAAATAGCTAAACAGTGCTAGCGGGATATTGTTATTGACATAGGCAGTAAAGAGAGAAGTACCTCCGGACAGGACAGGAGGCTGCAACTTTGCAAAATGCATCCAGCTCATTCCCACTGCCCTCCAAATGAGTCTTAATGTGTTTTGCAGCTGTGGACCATCAGGCCGGCCTGCTCAAATCAACCTGCCACATCATTGGTGTTTGTTGGACAAAACATGGCACATAGGTTTTTTTCCCTCTTCTCTTTGCTACTTCCAGATGTTTTAGACCCTCTCACAGATCGACCGTTGTTGGACGGCTGTGGCGATATTTACGCTTGAGATTTTTTCTTCCCGAAACCCATGACCCTTAAAAACTGGGGTTTTCTTAATTAAAACATTTTCTTCCAATTTATACCCCCAAATTCTTTAAAAACAACTTTGATTGGGCAACGCATTTCTCTATCTCTTAGTTTGTTCTCTTCTTTAAAGTGTCAGTTTTAAGTGAGAACTACGAGAGAAACATTTGGACACAATCATCCCCCAGTTTTTCAGCATTTGCACATTTATTTGATATCTTAAGAAAAAAAATTATCCCCCCCCCGCCAGAAATCTGTTTGGATTCAAGGGCCCGCTAGCCGACTCCCCCTCCACCTCCTCTATGGCGCAGTCTCTTTTTTAGTCTCTTCTTCTGTCTCCCATCTTCTCCTTAGGCCATGTTTGCCAGCTACGTCCCTGAAATCATAGAGTTAATAGGAAACCGCAAGAAATATGGTGGTTCCTATAGTGCGGTTAATGGGAGAAAGTAAGTATTTTCCGGAAGGTTCTGCTGTCTTTCCTTGTACGCGGTAGAACCCTCTCTGCATGCCCTTTTCTTTTTTCTGTTTCATGCATGTAGGCCATGTTTGCTCGCTACGTGCCAGAAATTGCTGCTCTCATCCTTAATCGGAAGAAATACGGAGGGAGTTATAACTCAACACGAGGCAGAAAGTAAGTCCAAATCCAGACAAGGTGTGGTTGTGTGACTCAAGTGCGCCCCCCCTCAGGTTAAGAGTGGTATGGGGGTTGATTCACCAAGTTACTATTACTTTAGTCACACTGCGTGACTGGAGACCTTGGCCATAAGGACACACATGTCCATGTCCCTTTACTCTCTCTATTTCTCTCTCTATGTCTCTCTCTAGTTCTCTCTCTCTCCCTGTCTTTCTTCTCTCGCTCGCTCTCTCGCTCTCTCTCTCGCTTGCTCTCTCGCTCTCTCTCTCGCTTGCTTTCTCTCTCTCGCTCTCTCTCTTGCTGTCTCTCTTGCTGTCTCTCTTGCTGTCTCTCTTGCTGTCTCTCTCGCTCTCTTGCTGTCTCTCTTTCTCTCTCTCTTTCTCACTCTGTCCCTCACTCAGTGATTACCTGAAGTCCATCGTTGTGCTTTTGTTTTTTATTTTTTACTTTGATACATCCTATGTGCTGCATTTTAATTTCATTTGAAAACTAGAGCTTTCATGACTACATTATAGACATATGCTATTAATATGTGATGATTTATTTCTCATTTTGTATGTACGGTACTGTTATGTGTTGTCCTACTTATTTATTCCGAAACCATCCAATGACATTCCTCCTTCAATTGTGCTCTCACTATAAGGACGAATCAGGGTCATGATGATACATAATTGTAAAATGAATAGTCATGAAACCCCTACTATCAGCTCTAAAAAGAAAATAGAAAAATACAATAATCCTCAACTGCATTATTATTGGTGGTCTTTTAGTAGCATCATCAATCTCAATGACCTTGCAGGATATGATTTCATTTCTTGTTTTCATTTTGCTTGAGTTAACTTCGCATAAGACATGCTATTTTTATTTATTTTTTCATTTATCTGCATGTTCTCTGTGACCTGAGCTCTGCTCTGTTGGGTTTTTCACGCTTCATGGTTCCCATGACAAACCTGACAAAAAGCTCAGCTTCCTGTCTTGTCACTGCCAGCCCCATCGTATCATCACTGTGTGACATGACTCTTATTAACCGCTCACTCGCATCATCTCTGCTCGACATGACTCTGGCCCTGATCTTCAGTCAGCTCCCACACCCTGAATGCTGGATGCCTCGCTGTCATTGGAGGCGCTCGATTGCTCTTGGCTTGCTTTGCCCGCTTGGTTCTTTGGTGTTCCGTCGTTTGGTTTGTGTGGCCGTAGTTGTGTGGGCCAGAGGTTGTGGTGTTGTGTGCGGATGTGTGTGTGTGTGTGTGGACGTTCAGAACACAGATTGTTGTGTTGTGTGTGTATGTACAGTGTGTGTGGCTGAATCCCTGGTTTTGTGGCTCAAACTTTACTGGCTCAACAGCACAGCACACAGACTAACACAGACTCTTAGTTAGACCCAGACTAACCCCACTGCTCCTAATAGTTTAACTCAGCAGAATAAAGAGACTTCCTGCATCTCTCCCTCTCGCGCTCTCTCACTCTCTCTCACTCTCTCTCTCTCTCTCTCTCTCTCACTCACCGTCTTTATATGTTCTACCTTACTATTTTACTTCTGTCTCTTTGGTCTTTCTTTCTCTCCCCGTCCGTCTTTCCTCCTCCCTCATCGCGCGCTTCATACCCCCCCCCAGACCTATCCCCCGTTTCCCCTCCCTCTCCCCGGGCCCTTCACAAACCCCCTTAGCGCGCGCTCGCACCACCCTTGAGAGCCCAACCCCCGCGCGCGCGCGCGCGCAGCCCACCCAAACCCACCGCGCGCGAACACCCAGGAACCCAGCGCGAAAAACCGACCGACGCAAGACCCAGCCGCCAACCAGAACCCCCAGCCGCGCGAAACAATCGACGAAAAACCGGCCGACCCGAACCCAACCCCCCCCCGCGCGGCCGAAACCCCCGCCGGCCGCACCCCGCACCCGCGCCACCCCACCGGCCCACCCCCCGGCCCCGCCCCGCGCGCCAAACGGCCCGGCGCACGCGAGCGCAAACCCCCCAAGACCCGATCCAAAACCGGCCCGCCCCAACCCCCGCCCTCGCCCAAACCCCCCCGCCGACGCCAACGAACCCCGGGCCCCCCCCCAACCCCCCACCCGGGGGCTCCTCCCCCCCCGGGAACCCAACCCGCGGCGCGCGCCGCGCAACCCCCGCCCGCGCAACCCTCAACCCCCGCCGCGGGCACCCCGGCCCGCCGCGCGCGGCAACCCCCGCCCGCGCCGACAACCCCCCCCCCCCACAACCGCGTAACACAAAACCAAACCCCCTCTCGCCACCGCGCGCGCGCGCGCACTCAACTCTGACAACCTCTCCTCAAACCTACCCCAAGCTCTCCGCGCGCAACCCCCTCCAATCGCGCGCCGCAAACACCGGCCTCTCTCTCGCTCAAACCCCCTTCCATCTCTCTCTCTCAACACCCCTCCCCTCTCTCTCTCTCTCTCTCTCTCTCTCAACCCCCTTCCCCTCTCTCTCTCTCTCTCTCTCAACCCCTTTCATCTCTCTCAACCCCCTTCCCCGTCAGTGAGACAAGATTAATGAGATGTTATGTTTGGCTTGCGCCCTGCGTCTCCATTCACTGACAGGGTGTTGAGAGAAGGGTTTGTCAAAACTGCCGACTCCCCCTCTCGCCACCTTTCCCTCTCCCTCACTCCCCCTTTCACACACTCTCCCACTTTCCCTCTTTACCTCTCCATCGCTGTCTTTCTCCCCCTCCTCCTTTCTCCTTTTCTCTTTCCTTTTCTTTTTTCTATACTTCATACATACATGTGTTAGTAATCGGGCCCCCAGTTCAGCCAGTCTAGCACAGAGGCTCAGACTGGCAACAGGATCTGTGCATTATTATGTTATATACTCTATGTATGGGTTCATACTTTATATGTACAGATCAAGACACATATACAAACACATTTGTCATAATGGTTTATTGTTTCCTTGTGGAGAGTACACTTTTTGGGCAAGGAAAAAGCTAAACAAGTTAAGTTCACGAAACTGAGGATTAGGAATATATCCAACTTCCAGTTAATATTACACATCATTAAGTGGTTTATCTTAATGGCACGTGCGCGCGCACACACACATACACACACACACACACACACACACACACACACACACACACACACACACACACACACCAGTCAGCGTAGTGACAGATCTCACATCGCCTACACTGATGTCATCAAGACGAGCGTTCTGTTGGCTCTCGACTCACTGCACTCACGGCCCTGTGGTTCTTATTAGGGCTCTGTGGTTTCCATTAGCCCCCACTGAAACAGAGGGAATGGCATGGAAACTGGCCTAAACCCTGGCTGAACCCTGCAGTACTCTGAATGTGTTAGTTCTCTGTGTGCCTGTGATGGCTTGCAGCCTGAGGTGTGGAGACCTGGAGACTCTCATCCCAGTCACACATATTATATAATATGTACAGTACGCATTAGGGAATTTAATACACATGTATTAACATAAATAAATATCATAATTGATGTGATACTGAACATGAATAACCTACATGAGTAATTTTACAGTATGAATAAGATCTCCAGTATTCAGGTTAGATAGCGTCCAAATATATCTTCCTCATTTCTGTGGCAAAATGTATTTTTTATGCTACACCGTGTTTCATTAGTTACAGAGATATAGGTCACTGTTGAATGAAAAACACAAGAAATCTGGTGTTTTGTTGCCTTTCCTTCTGCATCCTATAGTGTCAGCCTAAGGATCAGAGCGATATCAATGGTGTGGCCTCTGTTGCTGGTGTTTGAGCTGTCTGTTTGCTGTGGTGAAGTATTTAATGTGTTCCTGATTATATGATTTGTTAGGTTGATATCCTGCATGGTCTGTAATACATGTTCTCAGAATTCCCTCGTGCATTTAATGTGATGCTGTGCAACTCTATTGTGGCACTTGGTATTTGTGTGTAATATTTTGTCATATGTTCTGTGCCACTGTGATTGTACACACAACTTGAGTTTTTTTAGTTTGATATTTCATTGAGAAGTCCAGGGTCGAATAAGCTTAAAGGAAGTTATATTTTTTGCAAACCAATGAATAGATGTTGAATCATGTATCCTTACTACTCCTTATATGTAGCCAAATACCTTCCTTGGCTTGGATACTGTGCTGTTGTCTATAATGCTAGCCCTAGCGCACCAATAGGCAAAATGATCAGTAGTCTGTCCATCCTGCAATGAAGTCAACTGAAGCGTATATACTCCCAACAATTGTTCCGCTTTAAAAATCTGTCAAGCTCCACTGATAACTAATCTATACATGGAGACGAGATGTCTGAGATGAACTGTGTGTGTGCGTGCGTGTGTGTGAGTGCATCCGTGCCTGTCTTAACACGGAGCCACAATAAAGCCAGTTACTACACTGCACAAATCCCATATACTCAGCCTCTGAAGATGACTTCTGGACATGGAGTAGGAAAACATGACTGATGTTTTTGTCTCCCTGAATGGGACACATCATCTTCTGCCAACAGCTGCTGGCTTCTCACTGAGACCTCTGCTCATAATCTGATCTCATCAGAGAGCTCACAGCCTCATGCCATCACTGGATAGCTAGTCCAGAGCCCAGATCTGTGAAGATCATTATGTTCAATGGCTACCAGGCCTGTGTTGTCACCATGTCTACCAGGTGTCCACCAGATCATGTCTGCTTCAGCCTGCCTCAGTCTGCTTCAGTCCACTTAAGTATGCATCAGTCTGCTTTAGACCTCTTCAATGTGTTTCAATGCCACTTTGGACACACTGATCTGGACTGGAACAGTCAAGTCTTTCATATACAACAGGAGTTAATGTATCATCCAATGGTCTCATCATCTCCCAGTATGAGAACATGGGTTTGGATCAGTGTTTGTTTCTGTTAAAACAGATTGAGCTTGATGAGTTAAGTCTTGTATAGTGATCAGGCCAGACCACAGTTCTTCAGTGAGTCAGTAACCCAATGCACAGACAGTCTAACTCTACCAAGCGCATACAGGGCAGAGCTGCAGAAGCAAATTGTCATCTGGCACATCTCTCAAATAGAGCCATTGTCATTACATAGATTGTCTTACAGGTCTTTTTAGGACAATTCGGGTAGCTCGCCTGTCTCTGTGCCCAATGTAATCCCCTTGATGACGAGCATGTTTGGGTTTCTCTTTATTTGAGGTTTGACGTCGAACATTGGCTCGACAATGTTGAGTTAGTTTGGCCTACCGCAATACAAATGAGACCGTTGGTAAAGCTGAATGGTTAAAACTGTCTTTAATCCTAGTTTGATTATGTAGTGTATCAACATAATACTTTAGCAATGGAGGCATTGGGAAACCCACCCGAGCCGCTTGCGGAAATCTTTGCTTTGTGCTGGAGAACAGAACAAAAAAATACGTATTTTGAGTCACCTGAACAAGCTTGATATGTTACAGAGACTAGGAGCTGCATCTGTGTTCAAAACTGACTCAAATCTACTCCAGTATGAGTGAAGCTCCTATGTGAGTATTACTGTGAAACCCTCTATCTGAGAGCCTCTGTCTCTGGAGTGGATCATCACACTGGAGCCCAGAGTGGAACCATGGGACAAACAAGGTCACCACCCCAGTCATGACCCCAGCCCCAGTCCGATCTATCCCCTATCTGTCTAAATCCATCTTTCTCCTGAAGTCAGCAGTGCTCTCTGTCTGACATAGAACTCAACTATCCTGCCATCCACACGTCAACCAGCCTCATGTTCTGTTTAGAGTTCTTGTCAGCCGCAGACCAAGAAATCACTTTACAAGGCTTTTAGTAATGCCTTGTATGAAAGCGTGCGCCTATTGCTGTACATGTCTCTGTCAACATGTATTCGGCTCTCAGAGGGTGGTTTGGCGTAAGGGAACGGTTTCCTTATTGAGAACGGATGACAATCAAAACCAGGAAGTGTACTTTAGGATTATATTTTAGGTCTCCTTAAAGTGGTTCAAAGTTCAGGGTTTGGTTGCACACGTCATGTCGGATTTTTTCATACAAGGAGGGGGAAACTACGCTTTTCACTCTTATGGGGATTTGTTTTCTTTTACTGAAAAACAACAACACTAAAAGTCATGTCTAGTTTTCAAAATACATTTTTCTGACATAAATAGTTTTTATTGGGAATTAGAGTTGTGAGAGTGCTTTGGTATGACGTGAGTGTTCTTTTCGAGGCATTCGTGTTGGTTGTGATTTATGTTGCCTTGCTCAAGTTGATTTCTCCCCCCCCTTCTCCAGGCACATTGTGGTCTGTGGTCATATAACGCTCGAAAGTGTCTCCAACTTCCTCAAAGACTTCCTACACAAGGACAGGGATGATGTCAATGTAGAAATAGTTTTTCTCCATAAGTAAGTACATGTTTCGCTCCCTAGCTTTAAACCATTACACAGCATAGTTAAACATGAAATAATATAAACAAAAAGCATAGGAAATTGTCATTTTCTCTGTTCTTTCTCTCATAATCTCCCCCCCCCCTTTTTTTATGTGGGGTCTAATGTATTTCTGTAGTATGCATAAAATACTTACACTATTTATACAAAAGTATGTGGACACCCCTTCAAATTAGTAGATTCGGCTATTTCAGCCATACCCGTTGCTGACAGGTGTATAAAATCGAGCACACAGCCATGCAATCTCCATAGACAAGCATTGGCAGTAGAATGGCCTGTACTGAAGAGCTCAGTGACTTTCAACGTGGCACCGTCATAGGATGCCACCTTTCCAACAAGTCAGTTTGTCAAATTTCTGCCCTGCTAGAGCTGCCCCGGTCAACTGTAAGTGCTGTTATTGTGAAGTGGAAACGTCTAGGAACAACAACGGTTCAGCTGCGAAGTGGTAGGCCACACAAGCTCACAGAACGGGACTGCTGAAGCGCGTAGCGCGGAACAATCGTCTGTCCTCGGTTGCAACACTCACTACCGAGTTCCAAACTGCCTCTTGAAGCAAAGTCAGCACAATAACTGTTCGTCGGGAGCTTCATGAAATGGGTTTCCATGTCCAAGCAGCCAAGATCACCATGTGCAATGCCAAGCGTCGGTTGGAGTGGTGTAAAGCTCGCCGCAAGTGGAAACTCGTTCTCTGGAGTGATGAATCACTCTTCACCATCTGGCAGTCCGATGGACGAATCTGGGTTTGGCGGCTGCCAGGAGAACGCTACCTGCACGAATGCATAGTGCCAACTGTAAAGTTTGGTGGAGGAGGAATAATTGTCTGGGGCTGTTTTTCATGGTTCGGGCTAGGCCGTTTGTTCCAGTGAAGGGAAATCTTAATGCTACAGCATACAATGACATTCTAGACGATTCTGTGCTTCCAACTTTGTGGCAACAGTTTGGGGAAGGCCCTTTCCTGTTTGCATGACAATGCCCCCGTGCACAAAGCGAGGTCAATACAGAAATGGTTTGTCGAGATTGGTGTGGAAGAACTTGACTGGCCTACACAGAGCCCTGACCTCAACCCCATTGAACACCTTTGGGATGAATTGGAACGCAGACTGCGAGCCAGGCCTAATCGCCCAACATCAGTGCCTGACCTCACTAATGCTCTTGTGGCTGAACGGAAGCAAGTCCCCGCACCAATGTTCCAACATCCAGTGGAAGGCCTTCCCAGAACAGTGGAGGCTGTTATAGCAGCAAAGGGGGGACCAACTCCATATTAATGCCCATGATTTTGGAATGAGATGTTCGACGAGCAGGTGTCCACATACTTTTGATCATGTAGTGTATGTCTTTTTTTATGGGATCCAACCCTTTGATTGAGTACAGTACAGAGCACACTGCTTGTGAGTCACTTGGAAAGAGTTTCTGCTTCATTAGTAAAACTTCAAATCCCAACGTGTGTTTGTCCTTGCTCCCTCTCCCTCTCCCTCTCCCTCTCCCTCTCCCTCTCACTATCACACTCTCTCTCACTCTCCCTCTCTCTCTCTCTCCCTCTCTGCTCCTTTAGTATTTCCCCTAATCTTGAGCTGGAAGCCTTGTTCAAACGCCACTTTACCCAAGTGGAGTTCTACCAGGGATCTGTTCTCAACCCTCACGATCTGGCCCGAGTGAAGGTACTGTACTAGCAAGTACTGCTGTTATACATCATATTACACCATACTGTAGATACAGGGTGAAAGGCTGTGCGTGAAAAAGACGATAAGAAAATACAAAAAAGGCTCCTTATGCCACCTTGTAAGAGTGACAACGTTTCAATCCAAGTTGGACCTTTGCTTTGACCTGACAAAGATCAATCTTGGGTTGAAACGTTGTAATATTTGAAGGTGAGAGGGTTTCTGCTGTGTATTCTCTAACTGTAACTCTTCATCGTTCCCTGAATAGATTGAGTCAGCAGACGCCTGTCTGATCCTGGCTAATAAATACTGTCCAGATCCCGATGCTGAAGATGCCTCCAACATCATGAGGTAATGATGATGATGGTGACGACGATAAATCATCTGGGGAAAGGACTGTTTACAGTATGTGTTCAATTTTCTTTTTGAATTTGTAGGGTCATCTCTATCAAGAACTATTCCCCCAAGATACGAATTATCACTCAAATGTTACAGTACCATAACAAGGTAGGGTCAGCACGTCACTCCTACGCTTCCTGCAATAATAAACATAATGATAACTATGGTTCAAACACATCTTTGGAGAGGGGAGAGTGTGTAATGTGTGTGTGTGTGTGTGTGTGTGTGTGTGTGTGTGTGTGTGTGTAGGCTCACCTGCTCAATATTCCTAGCTGGAACTGGAAGGAAGGTGATGATGCTATCTGTCTAGCAGAGCTGAAGGCTGGCTTCATAGCTCAGAGCTGTCTGGCCCAGGGCCTCTCCACCATGCTGGCCAATCTCTTCTCCATGAGGTCTTTCATCGAGGTAACGTTGATACAACATTAACACAACCTTTTCACAATGATCTCTTTCATCAACCTAACCGTGATACGATATCGGTAAGGTAACATTAACACAAATTAGTTGACGCAATGTCAGTATGGTAACATTAACACAACCTTTTCACAATGTCTGTCATCGAGATAACGTTGACACAATGACAGTAAGGTAACATTAAGGCCTAGATTCAATCTGGTCCGCAGAAGATCCGTGTTATAGCGTGATTGACATTCAAGGGTAATTTCCGTTTGAGCCAACATACAGTATGCAGTGTTTACCGTGAATGCGGTCTCCGCAAACGCGTAAACGTTGCCTTTAAAAGGTGTATAGCCGAAAAGGGTTGGTCAGATTTAATCTAGACCTAACTCCACATTTTCACAATGAGGTCTGTCATAGAGGTAAAGTTGACACAATAACAGTAAGGTAACATAAACACAACTCTTTCACAATGATCTCTTTCATTTAGGTAACGTTTACAAAATGTCAGTAAGGTAACATCAACACAACCTATTCACAATGTTGTTTTACTTTGGTATTTACTGTAGTATTACAGGATAGATACTGTAAGTGATTCCATGGGAGGACTGAGCTCAGGTCTGCTGAGTGAGACGTCTCTGAGGGAGTGTTTTCATTCAGAATCATAATGGTCTTTCAGTCAATCTGGTTTATCATATGGAATCTGTTGGATCTTTGGCACTCAGCATTGAAGAGGTGCTCCTCTATTTGAAAGAGCTGGTCTTCTTGTCATAAAGATGATGGAGGAGTTTATAATGAGTGGGCTGACAAGTGCTGGATGGAGAAGAAACATCTGCTGGCCATATTTCCTTTATGAAAACATAGACTAAGAGATATAGAAAATATGGACTATCGACACTAAACCATAACCGGTGATATAAGCTGTGAATGAAAAGGCATTGCCCTCGTTAAAGAGGGATTTAAAACGTTGGGCTTTCATCATCTACTATATGACAGCTGAAAAGCTTTCAGGAAACTCATCCCTTATCGTCTATGGCAGCTCAGTGGATATGATGTAGCCTGCATGAACATCTGACAAAGAAGGGAGGAATCACTTCACATGAGAGGAAGAAATGAAGACATACAGTATCATTATTACCATTATTTGTTGAGTTGTGAAGCGATACAGCCCTAGTCAGTCAGAACTCATGCTAGGCCAAGCCTAGTGAAACAACTTGGACACGATATACTGTCACCAAGTCAGCACGTCCTTGCTTCACTCAGTCTGTAATTTTTCAACAAAAACAGTCAACTAAAACGCTATATTCAAACCATACCATCTCTGTTTTAATAGCAGGATGAATACACATGGAACACTATACATTATTACAATCGTTGGCAACAGAAAGTCGATGTCAAAATGATTGACCGAAGAACATGAAATGATTATAAAACTATAATAAATGCTAATATGATCTATTTTGAATGGCACCATTGTGCGGTTGAGAGAGGACAGGTGTAATTAAAATAGTTCTGTAATAGAGGTGGCCTCTTCTGTCAGCATGCCTCAGAGAGACCTCCATAAACATATGAATCTAAAGGCTATAATGCTATAAACGGAATGCTTATAGTGCATGGTGGGTTTTACTTGACGACAGATTATTGTGAGGCCTCTTAACGAGGTGAAGAGTGATGTGTCCGACAGCTGTTCTCAGCACAACTCTTACTAGGTAATTACAGAGAATATGTTCCAAATGGCAGCCTATTCCCTATTTAGTGCATTACTTTTGACCAGGACCCATAGCGCTATATAGGGAATAGGGTGCCATTTGGTAAACACACATGGAGAAATAGGTCAGTTCTGACACATTCAGCTGCAGATGTCTGTAATGAGCATGTGTGTGAATGGGAGAGGAGGGATGTCTGGTCAGATCTGGATGAAGTTCATCAGGCCTTGTTTTGTTACCAGGGCGATAATAGGCCGTCGTCATTGCAATTTGTCGTCACGGGTGATTGAAACAGGAAGAGAACCAGAAAGTTAGTGAGAGGTGCTAACGAGAGACCAAAGAATACACATGCACACACACACAATAGAATGGATGCAATCTCCGCAGGACCCCCTCGATTAGTGTTCCCCTAAAGATGGCTGACCAATTGCTTTCCCCCCAAACAGGCGAGGCATGTGAGTGTGTTAGTTATAGAGGAAGTGTGTTCTGAGTCCCATATTAAATCCTGTATAGCTGTCAGGATGGGGTGGAGTTATGATGGAGAAGAGACATGGAGACAGTTTCATAATATGTCTGAGGAGCTGCAGTCTGCAGTTCATCAAAGTGTCTTCTCCATCACTGAGAGACTGCTAATGATGGGCTTATAAAGGGCTTGTAAGGGGTTTATAACGGCTTATAACTGTGCTAAAGTTACTACTATACACATTTCCATCTGTATACATATTTATATATGTATTTATATGTGTCTTTACGTATTTATATATGTATTTATATGTATCTTTACGTATTTATATATGTATTTATATGTATCTTTACGTATTTATATATGTATGTTGTGCTTGTTGCTTCTCAGATTGAAGAGGATACGTGGCAGAAGTACTATTTAGAAGGGGTAGCTAATGAGATGTACACAGAGTATCTGTCCAGTGCCTTTGTGGGGCTCTCCTTCCCAGCAGTCTGTGAGTAAGTATGACACTCCACAGTGATCTAGTCCTTGGGCCGGTATGGATAACTCTCTCTGCTCTGTTTTACTGCTACTGTATAACTGCTGTTCGGTCCCTGGTACTGCTACAACTGCTGAAGAGTAGATGGTAGATAGAGGAGGTCAATGACATTAATACTAAATGATTATAATATAAAAGAAAAGGAACATTTTAATTTGAAACTATTGGTCATGTTGAAATAGTAGCTACCGTACATAATGTAGAACCGTGATGAGGCATAGCATTCCCTTACAATTCTCTGTGTTTGTCTGTCTGTGTCAGGCTGTGCTACGTGAAGCTGAAGCTGTTGCTTATCGCCATCGAGAACAAGTCGGAACTGGGAGAGAGCAGGTTTGTGTCTCTGTGTTTCTGTCTGTTTCTCTCTGTCTGTTTCTCTCTGTCTGTTTCTCTCTGTCTGTTTCTCTCTGTCTGTTTCTCTCTGTGTTGTACAGGACTACAAGGCTGCTCTTGTTCTGTAAATCACTGCTGGACTTCTCTGTCTGTAACATCCCAGAACATTTTCAAATCCTAGGATGTCTTTCAAGATTTATCTGTAAATAGTTGTCTCTGTGTTGAACCATGATAACCATTAATGCCATATGGTACTATTAACTTGCTAACTATTAACATGAAGTACTATATTTCACTTACCATAAATTGCTAAATCCCACCCACCCCAACGCCAACAGCAGTGTGAACCGGTTTTGTACAAATAATGCATTTATAGTAGAGTTGTTTTAGTTGAGTTTTTAGTATATTATGAAATCACTATAGAAGAAGTAATGTCTAACTAACTTGTTATTATGATATATTTTGAACAACATTTATTTTAAAACTTTTGCTCAGCCTTTTTGTTGTGTGCTTGCACCTGGACATGGGATCCTGAGGCATTTTCTTTGCTCATGCCAGGCTTTTTTCCATGACATAGTGCCACCATTCTCAGTGCCATCTGAACTGCATATCTCTCTGATAGTAGAAGTAAATTATTTCATAGATGCAATATGTGTAATAAGATCAGCTCTTAAGATCAAATAAGTACCTCCTAGTTTACTAAGTGATATGAAGGTCTTAAACTTTTTCTCAGAGTGCTACAGCAAGCACTTTCATTTTCCCATCAGAAGGTAGACGGACAGCAAATTGAGACATAATTGAAAATTGAGACACATTCATAATATGATTTTTCATCTCTCCTTTTATGTTAATAACAACTGTTTGATTTTAGGTTGTTTTCTTGTTGTTTGCAGAAGCCGAAAGCGGTATGCCCTCTTCCTTATATTTCCCTCCAAAGTTCAACCCTATCTCCACCACTTTAGAGCTTCTGACTGGGTTTTGTTTCCTAAGGATACTTTTCCAAACCCTATATCAAAATGAGCCAATTTCTCACTATATCTTTGATTGTGTTCCTTGTGCCTAATGCACTAACTTCTTTGCAGGCAGAGAGAGAATAGTTGAATTTGACTCGTTTGTAACTCTTGTTGATTTGTCTGATGTTGTCGATGTGCCCAGGCTAACACCATCTCCTCCATTTTTACCTCCTGTTTTGAGTTTCTTTCTGTCTCTCGTTGTCAGTCGTTCTGCTTAATTTCTCTCTCACTTCAGTTCTTTTTCAGTGTCTTCAGTCAGTCGTAACTGTGTGTGAACGTTGCCAAACTGATTATTATTTTCTTCCCAGTGTTTCTTTATTTTTGTGCTATGCTCATTATCAAACAGTACTTCACATTTTTATAGTTTTGATAGTGTCATCTCACATATCAGTCAAGAGACAGATTGTTGATGTCTGAACCCCAGAAGGGTTTATTGATGGATAAGGCTATTGTTGCACATTTCTGTAATATTATGGAATCGATGGTTTGATTATATGTCATTGCAGTTTGACACAAACACATGTTTTATAGATTTTTACGATACCAACAGCATTTGTTATGCCATGTCATATCTTATTCAAGGCATGGGATCATTAACTTTGGATAAATTAACATTTATCCAATGGAGTTGTTTAATTTTAGGCCACGTTTTCCATGGGTGCTGCAAATCATCTTCATACTTGCATTTCATCCCTTTCTTACTGTTTTATCATGTGTGTGGATACTGTTTGCTTTGTGTGCGTGTGCGTGTGCGTGCGTGTGCGTAAGCTTGTGTGTGTGTGTGTGTGTGTGTGTGTGTGTGTGTGTGTGTGTGTGTGTGTGTGTCAGTCACCATGTTCCCCCATACCTGTGAGTCTCTGAGTAGATGTTATCAAGTGAGGTCACTTCCTGTCAGTTTGGTGTTTAAGAAAACAATCCAACTGCACAGAAGTTACTGCAACAGTCTGCATCTACGTACCTGTCTCTTTATCTGTACTGCAGTGGCTATGCCTGGTCTGTTTTACAAGTGTCCTACTCACACTGTTTGGTAACTGCATGTAATAACACTCTATCATATGGGATGTGTGATGCTTGCCTTGTTGCTCCCAATATGAGGTTTTGATACATTGTGGGCCTCTATGCATAATTGGAGAAAATTACATTTTGTTATGTTTCTTTGTTATTAGATCTAAAATGTGTAAACTATGTGAAATCTCAGATTTGGGCAGCAATGTGTTTTTTGTAGTGGCTTTGTTAGTTTATTTTGTATTTTCCCGAAACAGCATGTCAATTGTGATTCCTTTTTTCTACTCTGGGGCCATTCAATCTTATATAAAGCTCAATAGTGCAACTTTAAACTTAAGTTTAGCAAAATATCATGTTGTTTTGTTTTACTGTTGCTATTGATTACAGCTTTATAATTGATCCAATCGCCCCCTTATTGTTTAAGTATGTTGTTTGTAGAGCCCAGAGGAAAGATTTTTTATCATTTGCGAATTAGTCTGTAGTTTTCAGCTGCTCTCAGCTATTTTCTGAGCCTGCATGCACTTTTACACAGTATAATGTTGGTATAGACAAGTGTTCTCAAATCTGTCCAAACAGTTTAGTACCAAAAACTAAAAACTTTTGTAAAGTATAAAGGCCGTACATTGAATGACAGTGAAGAAATAGTAAATTAAATAATTGGCAAAATAAAGTATTAATAAATTGAAGAGTTGGTAAAGTAAAATAAAGTATTAGTAAATTAAAGAGTTGGTCAATTATTAGTAAATTAAAGAGTTGGTAAAATAAAGTATTAGTAAATTAAAGAGTTGGTAAATTATTAGTAAATTAAAGAGTTGGTAAAATAAAGTATTAGTAAATTAAAGAGTTGGTAAAGTAAAATAAAGTATTAGTAAATAATAGGGCGGCAGGTAGCTTAGTGGTTAAGAGCGTTGTGCCAGTAACCGAAAGGTCGCTGGTTCTAATCCCCGAGCCAACTAGGTGAAGTGAACTATTGTCAAAGTATAGTATTCATAAAAGAAAAAGTAAAATATTTGTAAAGTATTATTAAAGTAAGTTAGTAAAGTATTCCTAAAGTAAAATATTATTCGTTTCCCTTTCGTCTGGGCTCAGAGGCCAGGGGTGTCGTCCCCTGACAGTCGGTCTGTGTGTTCCGTTTGTTAGTCTCTGTCTGCACTCCCATCATTGATGATTCCTACCCACAGGCAACCATTAATGAACTGGGCGTATATGCGTGTGTCGTCCACTCTCGTCTCAGTCTAATTCAGGGGGAATGATACAGCCAGTCCATACAGGCACCCTACACACACAAACACCATCCAAATCTACAATATCTTCTTTACTGTAGACATATGTTTGAGGATACAGTTTTAGGGTCTGTGAGGTTAGGGGTTACAGGGCTAGGGGTTAGAGTGAATTTGAATATGAATGTTACTTATCCATTAGATAACATTACATGGCCATTTCCCCTCAGCTTCTTGGTTATTAATTCATTCTTCCTGATAAATCAACATGGACATTGATAATGTAAATAAAAAAATGCATATCATATCACATTTCCTAGCTTAAATACCCTAAAGCAGCACTGTAGCAGTGCTATAACAATACTATAATACCCTAAAGCAGTACTGTAGCAGTACTATTTTTTATTTATCTTTTCCCTTTATTTAACTAGGGTAGTCAGTTAAGAACAAATTCTTATTTACAATGATGATCTACCCCGGCCAAACCCGGACGACGCTGTGCGCCGCCCTATGGGACTCCCAATCACGGCCGGATTGTGATACAGCCTGGAAGCGAACCAGGGTCTGTAGTGACGCAGTGCCTTAGACCGCTGAGCCACTCGGGAGCCCTATAACAACACTATAATACACTATATAACAACACTTAGCCTATAGCAGATGATTCCTATTCCTCTGTAGTGTTAGTCCAAGGGCTGTTCATTCCCTTGCCTTCCACTGTCCAGTACTAACCCAGGTAACAGTATCTAACTGTAGTGTAACATGCCCGTAACATCATTCTGATAGCTGATTGGCTCTGACTGCTGAGACTGAAACCACTCCATAAAACAATTTTAATTCTTTTTGCCCCCCCCCCCCACCCACCCACCCATCCTAACCCCGCCCCTACTCCCACTCCAAGCCAATCAGAACCATGGTGAAAAAGAAAAGAATTAAAATGTACAAACCAACTCATGCTGTTGCGCATTCTGTCCATATGTGTGAGTAGCTTCAGAGAAGGTGGCTAAACATGGAAACAAGGGAAGAAGCAAGGTGTTTTTCGACACAATAACACTTGAACAAATACCCACCTCCATACAGTGGCCTACAAGCTCACACTGATAGCATTTACAGTACTTCCATTCCATACCACTCTCCAAACAAAACAACTGGAGACTGCAGAAGCTCTGATTCCATTGACCAATCCGATCAGGCCGCTCTAGATGGCTGGCTGTAGTACTCTAGTTCCAGCTAGAGGGTTGATGATGTGTGTGTACCATTCCTCTTAATTAGCGCGTGAGTGTGACTCTAACGGCCGTAACAACGCCTACAGAGCGTGATGTCATCTATCTCTCCCATTACCCAGCATCCTCATCAACCCGGGGAACCACGTAAAGATGCAGGAAGGAACTCTGGGGTTCTTCATCGCCAGCGACGCCAAAGAAGTAAAGAGGTAATGGCAGAAAAACGCCACAGTCTCAGTTTAAAGCCTTGTCTGTGTTTTCATTCTCTTGGTGGCTAAAAAGGACAACATACAAAGCGATTAGACATTAAACTTCCATAAATATCATTGGTAAAAGCCAGCTCACATCTCAACCTGGTGGAATGGGTGAAACTCACTAGGTGTGAGTTGCAAACCGAGACAATAAATGTCTATGCTGCTGTTTCCCCCCAGAGCATTTTTCTACTGCAAAGCTTGTCACGATGACATCACAGACCCCAAACGGATCAAAAAATGTGGCTGCAAACGACGTGAGTACACCTAACTCGCCGTCCACAACCCCACCCCCCACCCCTCTCATGCCCCCCCGTCCCCTACCCCCACTGTCTCTGAAGTATGATTAGGATGTGCTATAATAAAGGTGTCATATCCCTCACTGTTTCTCATACAGTGTCTTGCAAAGGTATTCATCCCTCTTGGCATTTTTCCTATTTTGTTGCATTACAACCTGTAATTTAAATTGATTTTTATTTGGATTTCATGTAATAGACATACACAAAATTGGTGAAGTGAAATAAAAAAAATAACTTGTTTCAAAACATTCTAAAAAATTAATAACGTAAAGTGGTGCGTGCATATGTATTCACCCCCTTTGCTATGAAGCCCCTAAATAAGATCTGGTGCAACCAATTACCTTCAGAAGTCACATAATTAGTTAAATAAAGTCCACCTGTGTGCAATCTAAGTGTCACATGATCTGTCACATGATCTCAGTATATATACACCTGTTCTGAAAGGCCCCTGAGTCTGCAACACCACTAAGCAAGGGGCACCACCAAGCAAGCGGCACCATGAAGACCAAGTAGCTCTCCAAACAGGTCAGGGACAAAGTTGTGGAGAAGTACAGATCAGGGTTGGGTTATAAAAAAATATCAGAAACTTTGAACATCCCACGGAGCACCATTAAATCCATTATAAAAAAATTGAAAGAATATGGCACCACAACAAACCTGCCAAGAGAGGGCCGCCCACCAAAACTCACAGACCAGGCAAGGAGGGCATTAATCAGAGAGGCAACAAAGAGACCAAAGATAACCCTGTCCATAGGACCACTTTAATCCGTACACTCCACAGAGCTGGGCTTTACGGAAGAGTGGCCAGAAAAAAGCAAAAAAATAAATAAGCAAGCACGTTTGGTGTTCGCCAAAAGGCATGTGGGAGACTCCCCAAACATATGGAAGAAGGTACTCTGGTCAGATGAGACTAAAATTGAGCTTTTTGGCCATCAAGGAAAACGCTATGTCTGGCGCAAACTCAACACCTCTCATCACCCCGAGAACACCATCCCCACAGTGAAGCATGGTGGTGGCAGCATCATGCTGTGGGGATGTTTTTCATCGGCAGGGACTGGGAAACTGGTCAGAATTGAAGGAATGATGGATGGCGCTAAATACAGGGAAATTCTTGAGGGAAACCTGTTTCAGTATTCCAGAGATTTGAGACTGGGACGGAGGTTCACCTTCCAGCAGGACAACAAAATAGGGAAAATGCCAAGGGGGGTGAATACTTTTGCATGCCACTGTAGGAATGTCCTTTTACAGTGATAACTGTTTGAAATGGAAATTGCTCCAGTGATCACCTTGAGTCCCATTTTAGTGTATCAACTGTGATCACAACTGTCAAACCTTCATTGTGGTATGATCTGAAATCAATGTGTTATGATATTGTACAATTTGTTTGATTTATTCATTTTATTACTTTTTCCTTTGAATATGTAAACTTATCATGTCAATAATTTATCATAATGATGGAACTATCTAGAAGGGTGGACTGAAGTCTGGAGGAAGAAAAAGATAGAGAGAGAGAAAGAAAGCGAGAAGACCAGCAGAGAGCGAAAGAAAGAGTGGGAGTTCTACATCAGTATGCTAATGATCGAGTGTCAGGGAGAGGTAGAACGATGGGAGTAGCCGAGCAGAAGAGGAAGGCTGTCAGGTCGCCATAGTGACACTGTGACACAGGCAGAGGTAATGACCTCAGTCAGGTGGAAGAATACACGAGCCAATGGCTTTCCTATGCTCATGGGTCATGGGTTCAGATAACCAGACATCCTATTGGCCCAACCCTACCGAATCAGAGCACTTTATTGGTCCAAGTATTCCACCATTAACATCTGCCAGCAGTGGATGACTTGGAATATGACCCTTTTTCTCTGCTATTACTATTGATCAGACTGGGAATTAGAGAATGTGTACCAGGGTTGGGTTCAATTCAATTTCAATTCAGTTACTTCAGGAAGTAAACTCATTGAGGAAAATAATATAAGTTGTATTTTCGGTTTACTTCCTGAATAGCCTGAATTGAAAGCATTAATTCAGAAGCAGGGCCTTATTACTACCTGACCTACATGGGCACTTGTCCCAACATCTTAGCATGTTAAATAATTTAACGTCCTGCAGTCTCTGTACATCTAGAAAGGTCAGCGACAGTTACAGCAAGCAGCCTACGCCCAAACACATGATCTCCACCGTCCTTTCCCTTTGTCTGTGTCATCTCAATCATTCAGACTATAGGCCTGGTAGTCTGTCAGGTAGAGAGAACCAGAGACCTGTATTGTCTGATTCACACTATATTGCCAAACTGAGACAAGGCAAGCCGGGCTATACTAAGCTGGCCTGGTTACACATCCACCACAGTTGCTGGAACCGTGCTGGAAAGGACAATGTGAAAATAATGTATCCGAGCCAGTACAGTTTTGGTTGGCCCTATAGTGTGATCATGCATTGGTCCACTAGATATACTATACCTGAAACAAGACAGTTCTATTCTACATTATTTTGGGTTTCTGTATCTCCATCTTATTACTGTTTTATTACCAATAGGAGGGCCCCATTTAGAGAGATGACAGTTCCATTACTAGAATGGAAGTTTGTCTTCTGTTTGTTCTGTTTTGTTTCTGTTGTTATTGTTTATTTTATCCATGTGTTTATGACCATTGACATTTTTTTGATGTTATTTCCTTCCCCTACTGCCGCCGGGAAACACAACTTCTTTATTTTAACCACTCTCTGGTAGTGATTTATTGTGAGTAAAAAAAACACGGGTTCCCTCCCATCCAGGGTGCAGTGCGAGTGTCTTTTCTCTTTCCCAGCCAATAGTATACTGTATTCTATGTTGCATGTTACCAGTGTAGCATCTGCATCCCTCTCCTCGCCTCTCATCTGTACACTGTCCTGCCTCAGACCAGACCTGAATACAGCAGAACCCAAACTCACACCAGCTTCTGATTGTTTAGTCTGTCTCCTCATAGGCCCATAGTCTAGCCCGCCCTCAGACTCATTTCAGATGACAGAGTGGAGTGTGATTTTATCATAGAAGTGGATGAACTCTGTTTGACTCACTTAATTTTTTTGTTTGTTGTTAAACTGAACTGATCTGTATTAGAAACCCAATCCTAAGCCTTGTGTTATCAGCTCTCCTTAAGTCCTACTTACCTCCTCTCCCTAATATCACGCTCTGAGAAAGTAGAAAAATGGATGTGGTGACAATCTGAAATGTCAAACACACAGATTGATATAGGTAATGTTAGTCATGGATTTTGAGCCAAGACATTGGGGTGGGGAGGTAATAAAAAATTAAACTCCAACCATTTAGATTCAAATTCATTTTCTCACTGTCAGGGGCTATATTGCACGCTGCTGTATTTTCTGAAAAGAGGAAGTGTTCTTGTGGAAATGTCTTGAAATATTTCAGCTTAATGAGCAATGTTGCAAAACACAATCAAAACAATCTGGTCATACCCCCTTCACTGCTTCTAGCCCCCTCCCCACTCCCCAGTGCTCTGGTACTCTGCCCAGCTCCAGTCATACCACTACCCGGAGTTCATCAGTGCATTTAGAATTGAGATATCGTCACCCCCAGCCCCACTGCATTTCAATTCTACATAGTCGTCAGGCCCTTTTTTACTCACTGCCCTCAGAGCCCTGAGTGAAAGAAACAGCTTCAGTAGACAGTTATTTTACTATACTGCAGGTGCCAATGCTGTACTGCCATTTGGCCACTAGATGGCCATGTTGTGCCACAGTCCTGAATGTAGCTTATTGAAGGAAACTGACACTGAGGTCCTCAGAAACCTATTCAGCAAGAATATGATGAGCAACAGGGTGTGTTTCAGTCATAGACATAGAATTACTAGAACGGTTAAAAAAACGTTGACCACTGCAATTTGACTGGAACACTCATGGGTATACTCAATATGGCCGCCGGTCCACCATCACAGACCTATTGATTTGAATGGAGTTACTGTTCTAGTAATGGTAATATCTCTATGGTAGCAGTTAACTGTAGGTGTATCTTAACCTTTACAGTAGTTGTCATACAAATCTTAAAGGGAAAAGTTGTCTTACTTTAGTTTCATCATTGCATAGATTAACCCCTGGCTTTGTTTTATGCATACTGGTCTCATAGTATAGACCTTTTTTTTTTTTTTTTTTTTTTTTTTGACATAACATAGTAAATGTAAATCCTGGACACTTGAATTAGTATGATATGTTACATTTGGTATGGTCACATAAGACAAAAGGTTACTTAAGGCAAAAACGAAATGAGGGTTGTTGGTCGGTGTGGAAGGGTGGGCATATAATACGAACGTCTAGCAACCCAAAAGTTGCATGTTTTAGTCTCATCACGGACAACTTGATCATTTTAGCTAATTATCAACTTTGCAACTACTTAATACTTTTTACCTACATTGCATCTACTTAGCATGTTAGCTAACCCTTCCCCTAATAGTTTAACCTAACTCCTAACCTTAACCCTAACCTTAACCCCTAGCCTAGCTAACGTAGTGTTAGCTACCTAGCCACCTAGCTAACGTTAGCCACAACAAATTGGATTTCGTAACATCATACGTTTTGCAAATTCGTGACATATTGTACGAAATTCAATTCATTACATATCATACGAATTGCAATTCGTCACATATCATAAGAAATGGATGATGGACATCCTCAAATTAATAAATACCATATGAAATGTAACATATCATACTAATTGGAGTGCCCCTGATTTACTTTTAGTATGCTACATCTACCCCTGAGTCCAGGTTGGTTTTATGGTGTGCAATGTTTGGTTTGGTTGGTTGAAGATGTCTGAAAACAAAGTGAGTCTTTCGAAGGAAAACTGTTCTTTGTATTACGCATTCCGCTATTTCCATTTGTGCTTTGCAACATGGTACAATAACTGGAGAGTTTAAAAGCGGTTTTAGTTTGGTTGTTTTCTATAAGTATCCATATTTTAATATAATATGAGTCT